TCTATTATCTTCTTCGCAGGTGCATGCAGCGTCCTTCTTCTTCCGCTGGTCAGCTATGGCAGACTTCTTCTTCACGGCGATGGCGCGTAGAATAGCGGGCACCAGCTCCGATACCAATGCAATCAGACTCGCTTCCTTTACCACTTCGCATGCATGTAAACAGGTAGCACACCAAACTGGCGACAAACGCCCACTCAAAGCTCAGAGATAAGGTAATCAAGAACACAATTCAGATACAAGCTCACTTCAGATGGCTATGGCGCATCAGCGCCTGTACAACTCTCTGTTTGTCACTAGCTCAACTCTGCTGTTCACACACACTCAACTCAGGATCACCCTGGATATCCCACACGCGACACACTGTCTCACACACACGCACACACAACACTCGTCTACCACCCAAGACGGCTATGGCCGCTCAACCCTGTTGGCTATGGCCACTCAACCTCAACTCTGCCCACTTCGTCTTCGGGCGCTTTGTAGACCACCTCACACAAGTCGCTCAAGCAGCGCTTCCGCATGGCTTACGCAGGAATGAATGAATGGCTGGGCGCTGCCTCTTGATTTATACTTTTGTAGCTTGTTGGTCTGCCCCCTTCCCATGCCCTTGGTGCACACAGTCCCACACGGTACTTGCTTGACTGGATTGTGACTGACTGGGACCTGTACCGCTGACTGCATGGGTTTGCACTTCCAACTCGACGCAGTCGCACTGCCGACGTACCGTAGTTGGGCTCACCACTTGTGCACTTGCCTCTGTCTAAACGTGAGCAAACTTCGAAAGGCCACTACTGTGACCTTCCGGAAGGCTGGAGACTGGGCCTTTCGAACACTGTAGCAGCTACGACCTTGACCTTTCAGGACTGTAGCAGCTACGACCTTGACTTCTCCCGACACCTACAGCCACGACCTCTAGGCCTCAATAAGACCTCTATCCAATAGGTCTACAGATCGAACCCCTACCACTTACGGACCTACGACGGCCTACCAACTGTTGTGAATACTGCAAGGGTCCTGTCTGACCACAACTTGCTGGAGTGTATCTTTTCGCATGCACAAGTGTCAACACACAGATTGAGTATCTCACACAAAGCCAAGTTGAGATAAGATGAGATGAGAACCAGATAGCGCAGCTTGTATTATCAAATCACATTAAACAAGGGTATCTCAAGCTCACGAGTTCAACGCCCACAAAGTACATGTCTCTCCCTCAATCAACCATACACACAGGGCCTGGCTCAGCCAGCGTTTGCCCTAGATCACAAGTGTAGCGCCAACAAGTAAGTATCTTCCATATCCAGTACCATAACATGTCTCTTCTCTTTTTGTCTTCTCTCAAGATCCTTGTTCTGGCTCCCTTCACTCAACATGCATGCACACTCCCCGTCTACGAGAACCTAATCTGAATGCTACTCACTGAAGACTACTTACTAACCCTTCTACTACTACTACTACTAATATGCTGGTGCAGCTATGGCTCCCTCTTGCAAGCCAGCGCCAGCCTTCTCCCTCTTAGCGCAGCTTCTCCTGCCAGCGCTCATCCAGCCAGCCAGCGCACAAGTGCCACAACATTTCCACGCATCAATGCTACTGGAGAATCTGTCGTGTGGGAATCAGCCTCCCTTGGAACTCTTTTCCCTGTCCCAGGCTGTGTAGAGTGTGTCCCAGTACCTTTCCCTCAGGGTCTGCTGCTGCTGCGGCCCTTAAGCCTGAATTTCAGACTTTTGCCCTGAATCTAGACTGATTGTTGGACTTTGGTCGGACTGGGACCTGTCTTTTGACTTTCTTTTTGAAAAGACACACCTACTGCCTGAAGAGACACATACACTGCACGAACAAACATGACTTGCACACCCCCTGGATGAACAAATATAACCCTCAAAACCTGAATACTGTGGTTGTTCGTCCAGGGGCACAACTGTGACCTTAGACATGACTTTTCACTTAGTTAGGATGCGACTTTTGACTTAGAGAACATGCCTTTTGATTTGCTTTACACGTGTTAGGTTCTGGCCGAAGGATGCCTCAATGCTGAATTCGTCATTCAGGCCCTGAATCGGGTGAAGACCCTTTTACTCTCGCCGGCCTAATTTCGAAGTCCTCTGAGAAAACCTTCATCTATCTATGATACTTATTCCTCTTCTTGCTCTTTCATATGCAGACACAATATGAGGTGCAGACTCGATCAACTCTTCTCTTGTGAACCAGCGATCTTCACTTGGGTCCTGATAGGCAAATCTTACCTTATATTGCCGCTGGGGTCTGCCTCTACGTCCAGTTTGAAACGTACTCTCAGCAATAATCTTGTCCACATCATATTTCCCATCCATTCTTGGAGGAATCGTCGATCTGCGGCTGGTAAATAGCTCATTGGTTACGCAAGGTAAGAGCTTTGAGGCGTGGAACACTGGATACGTGTGTAAGTGTAGAGGAATCTCAATAACGTAAGAAGGTCCATCCACATCTCCTATCACATCTAGAACCTGCCAAGGTCCTCTGTAGGCGGGTAGCAACTTCTGAGATATGTTCTCCTCAGGAACAAACTCTTTAGACTTAACCCATACTAGATCACCTACAACAAATTGAAAAGGTCTTCGGTGTTTATTTGCTTGTTCAATCATTTGATGTTGTGCCTTCATTATATTTTCCTTTACCTTTTCTACATCCTTTTGGTATTGTATTGCAAAATCACTTGTTCCTAGTGGAAGCTTATGTACTTGATCCGGGCTTAGACGGTCGATAGGTCTGCGTGGACGTCATCCCAGATGCAACTCCATCAGAGTTTTGCACGTAGATAGGTGAACAGAGTTGTTATAAGCACTAGCAACTTTGGGCAAATGCTCGTCCCAATCAATCAGATCGGGACGGATGTACATACGCAGCGTCTGCTGCAAAATCTTGTTCATTTGCTCAGTTTGGCCGTTTGTCTCAGGATGTCTACCTGAAGACATAGTCAACTTAGAGCCATAAACGTTCATTAGTTGCTGCCATTGTTTGACTTGTGAACCTTGTGTCTCTGTCACTTACAATTGTCAAGGGATGCCCATAATCTTTCACCCAGTGGTTAAAGAACTCCCGGATTACTAGTTCGGTTCTTGCTTCCGCAGGTAATGCTATAAAAACAGCATATTTACTAAATCTCTCAACAATGACCATGACTTGCGTTTTTCCATTCCTGCTTTTCACCTTGGTGTCCATAAAGTCAATGGACATAGAGTCTCCATAACCTGTTGGAATAGGCAGAGGCTTAAGTAGACCAAGGGGAGGTTGCGTGGTGCCCTTGTTTCTTTGGCACACCTGACAGCCCTGCACATATGCGATGAAGTCGGGTTTCATGCGAGGCCAGGTGTAGGAACGCAAAAGGCTTGCGTAAGTCTTCTTCCACCCGAAATCGCCTTCGGTGTCGTGGCATTCCCCTAAGATCAAACTTTTGATCTCTTCTACATTTGGAATACAAAGCCTATCATGCACACCAGTTTTTTCAAACAACAGTCCTTGTGTGATATGATCGTCAGGAAACTTGGTTGGCGCTTCTTGCACACGTTTAATCATAGCGCCATAGATAGGATCTGTGGAATACACATTCCTAATTTTCTCTTGTAGATCGGTGCCCATATCTAAATAGGTTACAATGACATCGAAGAAATCGGATCTTCGACTTAATGCATCGGCGACAACATTATACTTACCCTTAACTGGCTTCAACTCGAAATCATACTGATCAATCTCAGCGGCCCAGCTAGTCAACTTAGGTGTCATCCGGCCTGCGTCTTAAGCCAGCGAAGTGTCTTATGATCTGAGTACACTTTGAAGTGCCTTCCTAGCAGATAGTGTCGCCAATGATCAAGGGCTTCTCGAAGAGCATACAACTCTCTCTCATATGTAGAAGCGACGACCTTCTCGTTAGGCAGTCGTCGGGACATAAACGCTACAGGCTTGTATCCATTCCCATCATCTTGTTGGAGAATAACGCCTATCCCATACTGACTGGCGTCGGTTGTGACTACAAAGGGCAACGAAGGATCAACAACTTTCAAAACTGGATAATTAATCAAACATTTCTTTAAACGCTTAAACGAAGTTGTGCACTCTGAGTCCCACTTCCAGATAGTTTCTTTCTTTAGCAATCTGCGAAGGGGAGCAGCAATTATCGTGAAATGTCTAACGAACGTCCGATAATAGTTGGCTAGCCCAAGGAACGACAACAACTTTGTCAAAGTGCGGGGGTTAGGCCAATCACGAATTGTTGCAATCTTTGTGTCTTCCAGTTTAATACCGTCACCATCAAGTACATGCCCTATATATAAAACCTGACGCTTAGCCCACTCACACTTCTTAGGGTTCAACTTCAGATTGGTTTCACGCAATTTATTTAGCACAAGTCGAAGGTGCTCACAATGTTCCTTTAAATCTTTACTGAAAATTAAAATATCAACAAGATAGATTACGACAAACTTGTCAAGCCATTCACGAAAATGTTAATTCATTGTTCTTTGGAAGGTTGCAGGTGCATTCGTAAGACCAAAGGGCAGCACAATGAACTCATAGTGCCCATACCTTGTTCGAAAGGCAGTCTTGTATTGGTCTTCTTGCTCTACCTCAATTTGATGGTAGCCAAACTTCAAATCAATCTTAGTGAAGTATTTGTGACCTTGCACCCTATCCAACAAATCATCAATTCGTCGTAATGGCTAAGCATTCTTATTAGTAATATCATATAACCTTCTATAATCTATACGCATGCGGACCCCACCATCTTTCTTGGGCACAAAAAGCACTAGCACACCATAAGGCGAGGAGCTAGGTCTTATCCATCCCTTTTCCAACATTTCGTCGAGTTGGGTTCGCAATTCATCCAACTCCTTAGGTGACATTCTGTATATAGGCCCCTTAGGAATTTGACTTCCTGGAATAATCTCAATGCGATGTTTGATTGGGCGTTCTACAACACCGCTTGGGGCCTCTGCCACATCTGCGAATTCTTTTAAAATTTTTTCAATCTCTGGGGACGTTGCCTCTTCTTTAACTTCACCTTCTTTTATTGGGCGCACATATGCAACAAAGACTTGATCATACAAGTTATACCTTTTTACATGGCGGGCGAACGCGGGGGCACTCATACAACAATGAGCCAAGCTGCTTTCCTTACCTGATTCATGGAATAGGCGGATTTTCTTCTTTCCACCTTGCGGACTAGGCAGCCAACAGTCATGGTCCCTCATCTTTATGTCCGCATTTGCAGCTTCCCCCCAATCCATACCTAAAAGAATGTCAAAACGAAGATTATCTTCCACCAAGAGAGTCAGAGAGTGGATAACACGTTCCACCTTCCCCTCTGCCTCGAGCCGGAAGTATATCTTGACCCCTTCAACATATCTATCCATCACAGTGACTGTACTATTAGCTAGTTTACTTACTACGGGCTCATCGAATTGCTTAACCTTTAGCCTGAGTCGCAACTTTTGCAAACCTTTCTTACTTACGTAGCTGCGTGTTGACCCAGTGTCAATCATACCACCAACTCTTATTTTATTTATCTCTAGATCGGCAATTATTAGCTGTCCTTTTCGTTTTTTCATCTCAGTCCTGGCTTGGCGACGAGCGGCCAACTCATCACCCATGCCAGCGAGGGATCCACCTAGAGAGGTACACACACTTATTACCTCTGGACAGTGTACTAGGAGGGGACTGACTTCCTCTTCAGTTTCTGCCAACGGAACCTTCGGATGGGAGGATGTTTTTCTTTCCACATCCGAAGTTCCCGTAGAGGCAACTGAGACCCCTACTGGCTGTTCCCTTTTAGTACTTTGTAGTCAGGGCAATAGGGAACAATGTGGTTGGGGTCACCATACTTAAGGCACTGGTCGGCAACTTTTCTGTCTTGCCACACTTTCTCTGTAATCCCCAACTGCTTCCAAGGCTCCCATTCAGGCAGACCTGGGTGGGGTGGATATGGTTTATCCCAATTTCCATACCACGTGCCTCTTCCTCTTCTCCAGGTAGAATATGAACCCCGGCCACCTTGCGAGGGACCATTGCCCCTTCCTCCCACGTAGTGGTTACCTTCGCCACCACCCCTCTGGGTGTCGGGTCCTCTTCCACCACGTCCGCGGCCTCCTCTTCCTCGGCCACGTCCTCTTCCTTGTCGCCCTCCCCCGCGGGCTACAACGGCCGCGTAGCTCCCCTCATGAGCTACCGAACCGTTGGGTCCTCCCTCCAGACCATAATCTATTTGGTTGTAGGAGAGAGTTTCAACACCTCCTTCAAAAGTTAGAAGAAGGTTGTCTTTCCCAGGGATGTTCCCTGAGATAGTGCGGTTCTGCCACTTTTTACCCGCTTGCAGATCTTTCCAGTAATGGCAGTAGTTAGCTTCCGCTTAGAAGCCAGCATGATCTATAGCGATTTTGCTAAACTTCTCATAAGTCATCCCCTCTTCCTTTGTGCGGGGATACAACTGAGTACGGAGAGGGTCGGGCACCCTAGTGAAGTTGTTGAGGACTTGAGTAGGAGTTCGTCCATGCTCAGCGCATTGCAAAAGTTCATCCATCGTTGCTTTGAGTGCAGACGCACTCTTCCATTTTCGATCCGCAATGTTTAAAATTAGCATTTCGGTTCGACGAGCCAGATTCTTATCTTCGAATTGTTCTCTTACTGCTTTAAAAAAGTCTTCAATTCTGGTTTGTTGTGAATATTCAATCATTGTCTGGCAATTTGCTTCTTTTTGCAACGATATGGCAAAACTCATCGCATCGCCGGCCATACACGAAGTGGCCATCAGAACTTTGTCCCAATATGGGATGCGCTGACCGTACACGTAGGACTCTACGGCCGCAATCCAATGTAGGACACTCTCCTCCCTCTTGCCTGTGTAGGTCCACGACACTTTAACTTTGATCTTTTTAGCATCCCCACTGTCTTCTCGCAACACCCCCTTTCCTTTTTTTATCACCATCTCCTCCATCTCCGTCTCCATCACCACCTCCTCCTCCTCCTGCGCCGCTGCCCTGAATTACCTTTTCAATTACGGCCGGAGTGAAGGTCTGGGTGATGTGGTTATCTAATTTTGCAACGTAGGACTGAATATGCATATCGACATCCTTTGCGAACTTCTGAAGGAAGGTGCTCCAGACTCCTTCAAATTCGTACTGGTGGGACTCGACTTTCTGCAGAGTTTTGTTCATTGCTTCCAATTCTTGTTTGGTATGCAGAACTGTTTCAGTTAAGAGGGCTAACTTTTCTTCTGTTGCCGCTTGTTTGTCCTTTTGCTCTTGCAACTCTCTGTGCAGCCTTGTACCTTCTGCTTGCAACCTTTTTCTTTCGTCTAACGCTCGCCGCTTTGCTGCCAACATCTTAGCATGCAGTTCTGGTCGTTTCTCTTCAAGCATCAGATCCTTTTCTCTCTGATCTGTAACAGTTGCCAGTCTCGCAATGAACACATCCCTTTCTTCTTCTGTCTCTTCGATTCGATCGCTGGTATAAGCATACTGGTTGTACCAGTCCAGCGGTTTAACAAACAATTCTCCTGCCTGACTACTCTCTGCCTTCTCTGTCCGCCGTCTGATAAGTCTTTCTCCCCCTTCCTCAGACTCTTCTTCTTCTATAGTCTGTAATTCTTCCTTTAACTCCTTCTCTAACTTTTCTTTCATTTCTTTCTTCACTCTCTCTTCTTCCATCTGCATTTTCCTTTTTATTTCTTCTTCTTTCTGTCTTTTTCTTTCCTCTCTTTCTTTCTTCTTTTCAGCCTGGCGGCGCTCCACTTCGGCCTGTTCCGCAGGCGTGGGCCCTGGCTTGACTGCTCCTGATCTCATCATTATTCGGGAGACACAGACTCTCCTGAAGCCCAGGGGAAAAAACATCTGAAATATGGGGCCCAACAAAACCGAAATGGCCATAATCCCCTGCATGTGATAGTCATCCATGGTGGATGACACCACAGGTAGTCCTCCACTGGTCCACCAAGAGACTATCCCCCACACTACTACTAAACTCTTTCTGATGTGGATGGGATGCTGTTTCTCTTTTTTTTTTTTGCACTCTGGAAATCACTGTTTCAGTCAATAACAAATTTCAGACAGTAAAACTCAATAGAACTTTTCTTTTTTTCTTTTTTAACGCTGCTGGTCTCCTTCTTAGTTAGTATTTTTCTTTCTTTCTTCTTGGTCTAGCTGTTTCTGTTTATACTAACCTTGACTGTTTGTCCTCTTGCGCAGGGAGAAGTTGGAGTATGTACTATGTCAGAGTTCGATCACACAGATTCTCACTGCCCAATTAACTTTGCTTGATACCGTGCTTGCACTCTGACGTGGCAATCAGCCACTAACACCAGTATTCCCCACCTTTACTACCTCCTACAATTGTCAGATTAGAGGGGTAGAAGAGAGAACCTACAGGACTCTGACCACTACTGCCTCTAATGTGACCAGACACTGGGTCCTGACTCCCAGACCAGACCTTAGGTAGACAGCAGCAGCGGCGACCAACAGAGAGGGGAAGAAGTAGAGTACACATAGACACACAGCCAGGTAAGGGGATATGGAGGTTCTTCTCTCTTTGAAGCGGCCGTCGATGAAGCTCCTCGTTGCTCCGCACTCCAACGCTCCAGGTAAGTAATCTTCTGCCCCTTCCTCTTCGGCTTACTTCTCCCCCTGATCCCAATCCACCTCTATCTCACATCTCCACCATCACCAGCATCATCCTCAAGCCAGCGTTCTCTTCTTCTCGCCGGCCGTACTCATGCCAGTGCAGTGAGTGCAACGAGCTTCTGCTCCGATACCAAATTTGCAAGGGTCCTGTCTGACCACAACTTGCTGGAGTGTATCTTTTCGCATGCACAAGTGTCAACACACAGATTGAGTATCTCACGCAAAGCCAAGTTGAGATAAGATGAGATGAGAACCAGATAGCGCAGCTTGTATTATCAAATCACATTAAACAAGAGTATCTCAAGCTCGCGAGTTCAGCGCCCACAAAGTACATGTCTCTCCCTCAATCAACCATACACGCAGGGCCTGGCTCAGCCAGCGTCTGCCCTAGATCACAAGTGTAGCGCCAACAGGTAAGTATCTTCCATATCCAGTACCATAACCTGTCTCTTCTCTCTTTGTCTTCTCTCAAGATCCCTGTTCTGGCTCCCTTCACTCAACATGCATGCACACTCCCTGTCCACGAGAACCTACTGTGAATGCTACTCACTGAAGACTACTTACTCACCCTTCTACTACTACTACTACTACTAATATGCTGGTGCAGCTATGGCTCCCTCTTGCAAGCCAGCGCCAGCCTTCTCCCTCTTAATGCAGCTTCTCCTGCCAGCGCTCATCCAGCCAGCCAGCGCACAAGTGCCACAGCACTTCCACGCATCAATGCTACTGGAGAATCTGTCGTGTGGGGGGCTGGCCTGCTCTTTAATACTAATGGCCTGGCCTACCGAGGCCTGAATCAGCCTCCCTTGGAACTCTTTTCCCTGTCCCAGGCTGTGTAGAGTGTGTCCCAGTACCTTTCCCTCAGGGTCTGCTGCTGCCGCGGCCCTTAAGCCTGAATTTCGGACTTCTGCCCTGAATCTAGACTGATTGTTGGACTTTGGTCGGACTGGGACCTGTCTTTTGACTTTCTTTTTGAAAAGACACACCTACTGCCTAAACAGACACATACACTGCACGAACAGACATGACTTGCACACCCCCTGGATGAACAGATATGACCCTCAAAACCTGAATACTGTGGCTGTTCGTCCAGGGGCACAACTGTGACCTTAGACATGACTTTTCACTTAGTTAGGATGCCACTTTTGACTCAGAAAACATGCCTTTTGATTTGCTTTTCACGTGTTAGGTTCTGGCCGAAGGATGCCTCAATGCTGAATTCGTCATTCAGGCCCTGAATCGGGTGAAGGCCCTTTTAATACACAGGTCACGGGTTCAACTCTCGGGGTCGACACAGATACTGTACACGGGCAAGGTAAGAACTAGGGATCGAACCCTGGGATCTGCATTCACTACTGCTAACAGGTGAATACCGTTTCCCAGGTACTTCCGAATAAAAAATTTAAAAATTTTGGAATATTCCAGAAGAGAGTAAGGGCTTTGAGAAGTAGAATCCCCAAAACACAACTGAGAAGAGAGATTTACCCAAAAACAAAAAAATCAGATTATCAAAGCAACGAAAAATTCGAAATTCCAAAAAAATAATAGGGGGAAAAAAAAATCAGCTACTAATTAATGCCATATTCAGAATTTACCTAGGCTGGGCTGCCGTCCGGCGAAACCGGGCGACGCAAAAACACAGCAAGGAATTTTTTAATTTTTCTTTTTGAAGGCGGGGTTGTGCTGCGCTACCCTAGAGGACCCCGAATCTGCAATAAAGAAGTTAAGCTGGGGGTGGGGGCGCTGGGGGAGGGATGTCAGAGGGGGGTCCGGGGGGGGGTCTGGGGGTCTGGGGGATGTCAGTGTTGGTATGTCACAGACCTTGCAGGTGTGTATGTGGAAGAAGAAGAAGAGGAGGATGAGGAGGAGGAGGAGGACAAAGAAGAAGAAGAAGAAGAAGAAGAAGAAGAAGAGTGGAGTATGCCGGAAGAAAGATTGGGCGAGACGAAGTTGGGGGAAATGACTGCCGCGGGGGAAGGTCCAAAATGCGGCCCCACGTGGCACAAGA